GGCCCGCTCTTCACACAGCGCCACCGCCCGCCCCGCCCCTCACACAGACAGGTCCTCCAGTCCGGCTGCCCGGCCTCCCGCGTTCGCCGCCGATTCTTCCGCGCCTTGTGCCCAGCCGGGCCTAGCTTCAGCGTGCGCTGCGGCCTCCGGCCTCGGGCGTCGCTGTATCGGCCTCTGCGCTCCACACCGGCGTCTCCGGCGCTCGGGCCGGGGCGGAAGGCGGAGCGGAGGGGTGGGGGGCGGTGGCTGCGGAGTTGGTGGTCCTGGCGCGATGGCCGCCTCGGTGTTCTGCTGCCTGCGGTGCTGTAGAGACGGCGGTACCGGCCACATCCCTCTGAAAGAGATGCCGGCCGTGCAGCTGGACACGCAGCACATGGGTAAGGTCCCTCCCCAGATCGAACAGCCCACCCCGGGGTCGGCGCGGCTACTGACCCCCGGGTCCTCTGCGACCCTGCCCTCGGCACCGTGTCGATCTCGCTGTAGATTTCCTCTAGACGCCGGCCGACTCCACCTTGACCCGGTTCTGTGTTCAAGGCTACCGCAGCCCTCTGTTCCTGTCGTCCCGAGATGGGTGTGACGACGTACCATTTCAGGCGGATCTCCTCCGAGCTGCCTCCTGAGACCTGTCAAATGTCCCAGGCAGGGGAACAGGCAGTGCCCTGGTGTTCCTCCAGCAGTGCCCTGCTGTCAGCTCCAATCAAAACCTACACTTTTCCAAAATGTTTTAGATCTGATCTTGAATCCTTCCCAGATAGTGGGCTCTTTCTCTTTAGCCCCACCATTTATAGATTGAGGCTTGTTTTTTTGGAAATGATTCTTCTCACCTCCCAAAGTTAAAAACAAAGCAAACTGCAGAACACTGAAGTCGGACCTCAGGTCAGATCATGCCATTTCAACTAAACCTCCCATTACCTGACTCCTCCTTAGTCACGGTTCGGGGTGCTGTAATTTCATCTGACTGGCCTCTTCCCACCAGGTCAGGCTATTGCAAAATGAAACAGCATTTGCTCCTTTGCATCTAGGTTTTTCCTTCCAATTCCAAATGGTCATATAACTTCTCATATCACATTCTTCTTCTTCTCTCCATAGTGTTTTTCTGCGTTTTATTAATTGTGTTCTTAGACTTTTCCCATATAGTTCCATGCTTCTGGAATGTGGTTCTGGGAGAGATTTCTCAATCTAATTATTTCAGTTATACTTTCTGGGGATTATTCTAAACATACTTTTGCACCTTTGACTCTTCTCACATCTCTCATTGTTCAAAGGACATGCTGTGAAACAACAAAGTCAATTCTTAATATTTCTACCAAAATCCTTTCCTGCCCAGATTCTTTATAATTCTGGAAACACTCTGCCCATTATATTTTTATACCATGTACTAAACTCCAAGTGTGATAATTATATACCACTTTGTACATGGGTATTTACTTTAAATTCTTACATCTGCCCGAGTTTAGTATAGAACCTTATACATAGTAAATTTAAATGTATACTTATACGTATGTGTGTATAAAACATGTAGGAGTCCCTGGGTGGCTAAGTGGCAAATGATTAAGTGCTGGACTACTAACTGAAAGGTTGGTGCTTCAAACCTACCCAGAGGTGCCTAGGAAGTAAGACCTGGTGATTGGCGTCCAAAAGGTGACAGCTTTGAAAACCCTATGGAGCACAGTTCTACCCTGCAAAACATGGGGTCACCATGAGTTGAAATTGACTCAATGGCAGCTAAGAACAATATACTATATGTATGTACATCTGTAGCTATATATATATGTATTCGATAGATAGCTGCTATCCAGTTAACTCCAACTCATGGCAACCTTCTGTAAAACCAAATGAAATGTTATCTGATCTTGTGTCATTGTAGTGATGGCCAGAATGTTCAAGTCCATCGTCGTGGCTGTTGTGCCAGCCCATCTCACCAAGAGTCTCCCTCGCCCTTGTTGACCCTCTACTTCACCAAACATGATGTCTCCTCCAGTGACTGATCCCTCATGATGACATGTTTAAAGCAAGCAAGCCAGAAAATGTTCTGTTGTGATCCATAAGATTTTCATTGGCTAATTTTTGGAAGTAGATCGCCAGGCCTTTTTTCCTAGTCTAAGTCTGTAAGCACTGGTGGAGCCTGTTCACTATTGGTGACCCTGCTGGTGTTTAAAATACTGATGGCACAGCTTCCAGCATCACAGCAACACACAAGCAACCACAGTATGACAAACTGACAGATTATGGATATACATATTGTTGTTAGTTGCCATTGAGTTGATTCTGACTCATGGTGACCCCATGTGTACAAAGTAGAACTGCTTCATAGGGTTTTCAAGGCTGTGACCTTTTGGAAGCAGATCACCAGGCCTGTCTTGCGAGGCACCTCTGGGTGAGTTGAAACTGCCAGCCTTTTGGATAGTAGTCAAGCACTGAACTGTGCCACCAGGGACTCCTGATAAGCATATTACATATATATAGATATGTATATACACATATATACTTAAATTATTTCCTATCAATAACTATAGACAGTGAATGTTCAAATCCTATAATTTCCCTCAGAAAACGTGTCCATTTCATTTATTCGTTCACGCAGTTGATATTTATTGAGCAACTATTAGGTGGCAGGCATTGTTTTAGGTGCTGGGGATATAGTAAAGGACAAACATACATAGTCCTTGGAGCTTATAGTAAGCTTTAGCTCTTCTTTCTATATTTACTGCCCAACTCCTGCATTATTGCAGTCTGCTGTTTAGAGTATTCCTGGTCTCTGTCTTCTCCACGAAGAGCAGGTGAGTTGCATCCATTCCACTATGTTTTCTTTCTCCAAAACCGCCCAGCAACTTTCAGCTGCTAATAGGATAGAGTAACGTCATCCCCAAATTTTCTACCTGCATGGAAATTTTTTCTTAGCCAGTCTTTTTGGTAAGTTCTTTAATCAGAGAAGAAGCTTGATTTCAGAAGCTGAATAAAATGAAAGGGGAAAGGTTTGTTGAGTTAGAAGAGGGAGTGCATTTCAAACATGAATGCATCTTACGTTGAAAATAAGAAAAGAACATTGAGCAAGTATGCATGTAATTGGATATGTGAAAGGTTGTACACCTACTTCTCACTTGTCGACTGTCTCATCTGACATTTTACATTTACAACAGTAGTAAAAAATCTGACTATTTTACACATTAATGATGTACATCTGGCAGTAATGAGCACTGAGGTACGAGGCGAGAGTAACTCTGGCTGTGATAGTTAAAGTTATGTGTCAGTTTGGCTGGGCCATGATTCTCAGTGGTTTGACAGTTATGGAATGAGGTAATTTGACAGCTTTGTAGTGATGTTATTTGGCAGCTATGTAACGATGTAGTTTGGCAGTTATGTAATGATGTAGTCATCCTCCATTTTGTGAGCTGATGTGGTTGTCCTCCATTTTCACATAATGCCAATTTTCACATAGTGACCTGGTCTATGAAACTGAACCATGTCGATAAGTGAGGAGCGGGTGCGTTAGATAATCTAAAGAATGTGATTACTCTGTTTTGTTTTTTTTTTATTTAAAGAAAACAATCTGTACAGTTCATATCCAAATGAATGTCTCTTTTGGTGAAGCTGTATTACTTAAAACCATTTTGGAATTTCTCTTGAAATTTTCTGTGGCATAGTTTTTCTGAATATCTTCATTGATATCATATCTTCTGCTTTTAATTGTGAATTGACTTTTTAGAAATGAATGCCTTCCCAGATAGCTATTTTTAAAGGAATGATACTTATTTGGAAATTTTTAATGTTTCTTAAAATATATTCTGTAGCTACATATGTTCTGGCTGTACCCAAGTTTGTCTTGACTGTCTAAGCAGTAGTGATGATTAATAAAACTACACAAATCACATAGATCCAAATATAGAATAATTTTGTTCTTAAAAATAAAGAGAAATTATATAATCCTAAAATAATTCCTTAATCAGTCACAAACACCTTAGAACGTTCTTTGAATATATTCATCCTGTATAAAATATCTCAGTACCTAACAAAATGCCTTGCAGATAAGAATTGATATTGAAATAAGAGAGTAATACCACGCTCAGAGTTGGTTCTGTGGTTCCAACCTATAGAGGGTTTTATACTTCCAGTAGCTTAGCAAATTACAATGATCTCCAATATAATAAGTTATGTACCGTAGAAGTTTGTTGTTAGAAAGTTTTAGTGTATATAGGGGAACACAGAGCATTGCTAGTTAAGAAAAAATACCATTTATTTGCATAATTCTTTGAAATGTATTTCACTTAGAAGGCTTTCAGTTGCACATAATAAAAAAGTACAACTCAGAATTGTTTAAACAATGTAGGAAATTTATTGGTTCATGTAACCAAAAAGTACAAAGCCAGCACTGGCTCCAGGAAAGACTCGGTGCTGCCAGGGCCTGGATTTCTATCTATTTGCTTGGTCTTCTGCAGCTTATTACTGCGGGCTGACTTATGAGATAACTTGAAGCAGCTCCCTGGGCTGTAGGCTTCCTCATTCAGGTCCAGCAAGAATGAGAGAGTGTCCTGTCTCATCATTCCCTGCAAAAGTCCTGAAACTATCTCTGATGATAGTGGCTTAGGTCATATAACCATTCTTGACTCAATCACCATGGCCAAGAGATGTGGAATGTACCGATTTCCTTAACCTAGGTCTAATGTTGTACCCTTAAAGCCAGACATTGCGTCAGCTTCCCTGGAACTGTTTTGATCTCTAGAGAGAAGTCTGTTGGGAATGGGGAAACATGAGGCAGCATGTCCACTACAAAGTGCTTAGCACAGCACCTTCATTCATTTCTGTATCAGTTATTTGTTGAGCAACTGCTAGGTGGCAAGCACTAACTACATGGTCTTTGCCATCAAGGAGGAGCTGGGTCCTGCATGGTATTCAGTTGAAACTAGGTATATGGGGAACCAAATGTAAATTATTTATAAAGGTACTGTCCCAGAATTTTCTGTTTAATACCTGTAGTCAGAAAAAAATGAATGGTAATGAAGTTTTAGTAATCATACGTTAGGATTTTGGTTTTACCTTATTTAAGAGATGGTATGGTGTCTCTCTTAAATAAGACAATTTAGAATAGTGATAGGATCTGAAAAGTTTGCATTTCTCTTATGTAATTGTCCCAAGTAAGTTTTTGTTTAAATATGAATTTAGTAGTGAACTGCCTCCCTGCTAATGCCTCCTTTTACTCTGCCCTAGAGTAAGGATCCCATATAGTTCTAATATAGCCAGATCTGCTTTGCTCGTGACACATTACCAGTGAAGTGGTAATAATATTGGCCACAGACCTTTGGAGCACATGCCTCGGTTTTGTGGAGTATTTCTTACATGTATTCTGATGTACATGTTTTCCTAAATCAAGGTTTAGCAAAGAATTGTTACTGGGGTCACGTTATCAAAAACAGTGTTTTTTCTAAAATGTATCATCTATCAAATGTAATTTGAGTAAAAACTATAATTTTCTATGAGAAAAAATACGTTTAATGATGTAAAACCTTACTGTTTACATATTTGTGATGATTGACAGTAGCTGTCTTAATAAACATTTTAAAGATCCTAAAATTAATGTTTTTTATTGTCAGATATATCAAGAATATAGATGTATGTTCCTTTCCATAGTCTAGGTACTCTTCAGTTCTTATTGACTAATGCACTAGCGTAGTACCTTGTACACCCTCTCCTCACTTATCAACTTGGTTAGGTTCCAGAGACCAGATTATTACACGAAATTGGTGTTATGGGAAATGGAGGAGACCACAATAGATCACAAAATGGAGGATGACTACATCATTATATATCTGCCAAATCACATCATTACATAACTGCCAAAACTCTGAGAATCATGGCCCAGCCAAGTTGAAACATAACCTTAACCGTCAAAGCTAGCTCCTCGGCGTTCATTACTGCCTGATGTATGTTGTTAATGCACAAAATAGTCGGTTGGTAGATTTTTTATTATTGTTGTGAATGCAAAATATCAGATAACGAGAAAGGCAATAAGTGAGGAGAAGGTGTACTTGGTAGACATTCAGCCAGTTTTTAGTAGATTGTTTTAATTCACCTGAATTGAATTGAAAATTGTACCAGTTTTCTGAAATTTCTTTTAAGTGTTTATGTTTTGGTTTAAATTAAGAGTTAAAAAATCATCAAATTAGTTTATAAGTTTTTAATTTTAAGAATTAAAGAGTTTGATAGTCTAGTTTTACCTTAAAAGTATTTAAACATTTAGTGTAATTCAGAGTAATTATTTATTTGAAGCCACCTAATTAAACAAGATTTCTAGCCATGAATGAATATGAAATATAAATGTTCCCTCAGAAAAAAGTAGTGAATCAAATATTTGAGATGATTTATCTATATTTTCTATATTGCAAACCACATATAGTATCCCTGTTTTTTGTAGATGAAGAGTTAAAAGTGAAAGAAGTTAATTTTGATTTTTCGATGTGAAAATACAAAACTTTACAAAGTGTATTTTTTGTTTTAGGAACAGATGTTGTCATCGTAAAAAATGGAAGAAGAATATGTGGAACAGGTGGTTGTTTAGCCAGTGCACCTTTACATCAAAACAAAAGCTACTTTGAATTCAAAATCCAGTCCACAGGTTGGTATAATGGTACTTTACTGTTAAAAGTCCTAATTGTTCTAAATATTAAGAACAATTTTCAGTGTATGAAAAATATTCATGAGGAAAAAAACAAACTTTTACTTAGAAGACCTGGGTCATATGACCACCTCTTATGTGATCTTTCTTAAATTACGTAATTTTTCAAGTAATTGGAAATTGCAGGAGCTGCCCTTCCTGCCTCTCGTGAGCTATATGTATGAAAGTGTTTTAAAGATGGGACATACTGGATAAACGTCAGACACTAGCATTAGTAATGGGAGCTAGATGCACCACTTCATTTGGTCAAGCATTGTTATGGATTGAATTATGTCCTCCAAAAAATGTGTGTATCAATTTGGAAATTTGTCCATTTCTAGGTTTTCAATATTTGTTGGAGTATAGTTTTTCATAATATTCTGTTATAATCCTTTTTATTTCAGTTGGGTCTGTTGTAATGTCACCCATTTCATTTCTTATTTCATTTCTCACCTGTTTTTCTTTTGTCAGTCTGGCCAGTGGTTTGTCGATTTTGTTGATTCTTTCAAAGAACCAGCTTTTGGTTTTGTTGATTCTTTCTATTGTGTTTCTGTTCTCTGTTTCATTTATTTTTCTGCTCTGATCTTTACTATTTTCTTTCTTCTGGTGGCTGTGGGCTTTTTTAGCTGTTCTCTTTCTATTTGTTTGAGTTCTGTAGTTAATGTTTTGATTTTGTCCCTTTCTTCTTTTTTGATGTGTGCATCTATTGCTATCAATTGTCCTCC